TTGTAGACATGTTTTTTGTCATCTCTAAATTAAATGCAAGACTTAAGATAAGACTATCTTATCAACCATTGTACATGCCCTAATGTTGCGGGCGTTTCCTATTTATCGCTTTAGACGTGTCTATCTTATCAATCATTGTACATGCCCTAATATCGCGGGCATTTCCTATTTACCGCGTTCGGGTGTCTCAAAAAAAATTACCGCCTTAGGCATCTATTACTCTTTTTTTAGAAAATAGGCATCTGCTACTGTGCATTTTGTAAATGGGTGCGCACCTCCACTCCGAGCTGGGCTAACCCGGTTAGTTTTTTCTTCTTTCATTAAACTGCACAATTGCGAGTGTGAGGGCGCTATTTACCGCTTTAGGCGTGTCTATCTTATCAACCATTGTACATGTCTTAATGTTGCGGGCATTTCCTATTTACCGCTTAGGTGTGTCTAAAAAAATACCGCTTTAGGCATCTATTACTCTCTTTTTTTGAGAAATAGGCATCTGCTACTGTGCATTTTGTAAACGGACGCACACCTCCACTCCGTGCTGGGCTGACCCGGTTACCTTTTTCTTCTTCCATTAAACTGCACAATTGCGAGTGTGCGGGCGCCTGAAGCATTCAAACCCGCGACCTCTCTGTTCTAGATTAGCTGCAGAAACCACCGCAGACACCACAACGTTACTAACTCAGTTTTCTTCTTTTTGTTCTTTCTTTCAATTTTCTTTTTTTCTTTTTCTCTTTCTCTTTATTTCTATTTTTTACTTTTTCCCTTTTTGTAAATTCGTGAACTTTTTATAAATTGATGAACATTTTTATTTTTTGTGCACTTTTTCTAGAATTGATGAACTTTTTCATCATCGATGAGTTTTTTATTTGTGATTTTTTTTCAAAATTTATGAAATTTATAAATTTTGTGAATTTTTCTCATTGTTGATAACTTTTTCCAAAATTGATAAATTTTTCTCAATTATTGAACTTTTCTTCAAAATCGATGATAACTTTTTCTTAGTTTTCATCGGTTTTCTTTGTTTTTCTTATTTCTTTCTCGATTTTAAGTACATCCATTCTTTCGCATTTGTTTCCTTTTTTGGTTTTCTTTGTTTTTATTAGGTTTTCTTTGTCGAAATTCATCATTTTTTTATCAGCACATACCAGCATTTTTCGTCTACATTGGAAACATATATTATATACATTTTTAACATTGCTGAAATATATGATTAACATCGTTTAAAATTAATATTTTTCCAACACACTACACATTTATGATATACGCCTAAAAACATCTATATATACGTTTAAAATTTTGCAAAGGATTAATATTTTTTGAATACACGGTCAACATTTTTTAATACAAGGTGAATATTTTTTTACTATCAATAACCATATTTTCACACACAATTTACATTTTTTGCATACCACAGGAATATTTTTTATAAATATTTAATATGTTCTATAAAAGATGATCAACATTTTTCATACACATTGTATTTGCTTTGTATATATACTTTTGACATGACAATGTTTTTCTACACACATTTAACATTTTCCAAATGCTTGATTAATATTTTTCAAATACATGATGCACATTTTCCCATGCTTGATTAATATATATTGTTAAGTACGTGATCAACATTTTTCATACACATTGTATATTTATTGTATACATTTTTCATATATGTGATAAAGATTTTTCCTATACACATCTAACATTTTTTAAACACGTGATCCACATTTTTTCATACACATTATTTTTGTTTTGTATTTATTTTCTTATATATGAAAAGCATTTTTCTGTACATAGTTAACATTTTTCAAATGCTTGATTGACATTTTTCAAGTACTTCACTAACGTTTTTCAAATGCTTGATTAATATTCTTCAAGTACTTGTTTAACATTTTTTTCAAATGCTTGATTAACATTTTTAAATACATGATCAACATTTTTTATACATATTGTATATTTTTTGCATACATGTTCTCTTTACACATTTCATATTTTTTAAAGGCTTGATTAACATTTTTATAAAGTGCTTTATGTGAAGTGTCGAGGCAGTGGCCTGTTGCTTCCTGCGGTGAGGCGCCTGACGTGAGGGCAACTTATGTCCCGCTAGGAAAATCCTATCTGCCCTATTCTGCGGCAGATTATCTTCACTTTGCACAGAGGGAGCAACCAGCTATTGACATGGGTCGGCCAAATTATCAGCAAAGTACATGGGGCGGGCGGTTTTGGGAAAGTTCTAGGAAGCTCCAGTCGATTTTTCTCATTTTGGGAACCTTCTAGAAGGTAAGGGAAGGTTCCCGAACTGGTTTTATGTTCTTTTCTGTTTCTTTTTCTTTATGTCTCTGTTTCTCTCTATACTTTTGTCATTTTTCTTTCCTTTTACGTTTTTTATTTTATTTTTTCTTTTTCCTTTTCCTTTCCTTTTTAATTTTTATTTTTAATAAATCTTTAGAAATGCAAAAAATAATCTGTTTTTCAAATTTTGTTCACAAATTTCAAAAAAATGTTCAGAAGTTCAAAGGTTGTTTATTTCATTTTTAAAAATGTTCTAAAGCTCGAAATTGTTTTGAATTTCCAAATTTCTAAAAATCGTTCCATATTTTCAGTTTTATGTATTAAAAAACTGTTCGCAATTTCAAATTTCGTTTAGAAATTTTTAAATTGTTCTTATTTTGAAGTTTTTGTTCTGTAAATTCAAAAAATATTTGGGATACTCAATTTTTTGTTCCCATGTTCAATATTCTTGTCGATTGCATTTTTATTTTTTCTCTAAATAAAAAAATGTTCAAATTTCCATAAAAATGTTCAGAATTTCATATATTTGTTGTTCCATTTTTCAAAAAAAATACTCGATTTCAAAATTTTGTTCTCTAAATTCAAAAAAATATTGGTTTTTCAAATATTTATTCCCATGTTCAAATTTTGTTCTTGGTTTAAAAATCTTGTTCCCTAAATTTGAGAAATGTTCGCACTTTTAAAAATGTTCAGTATTTTCAATGTTTTGTTCACATGCGTCATATTTTGTTGAAAAGTAAAATATATTCAGAATTTTTCAAAATTTCATCATATTTTGTCAAAATTGGTCACAAGTTCAATTTCCTGCTTTTCTAAAAAAGTTCTGCTTTTTAAAGCAATTCGCTAATTTGAAAAGTGTTTGCTTTCACAAAAATACTCAGTTTTTTTAATAAAATCATTCGAAATGCTGAAAATAATTCGGTTCTGTTCTGAGGTGTTGATTCTTAAAAACGGACGCTGCTAACTTGTCAGTAGTGCTTGCTAGGTAGTTGGTTGCAACGCTTGGTCAGTAGAGGTACAAGGTTCGATTCCCAGGTAGGTCGAGTTTTTTTTTTTGCACTACAGTACAATTTCGCCGGCAGTCATGGGCTGGCTCAGTGCGAGACCGCCTATGCGAAACGACGCCACTTTGCCGCAGAGAGCGGCGTATAGGACGTCCCTTCGCTGGGCGTGCCCAGCTCGACGCCTACCAGGCCCGTCCGGCAGGCTGTTTTAGAGTGGGCCGAGCCCACGCAACCACAATCTCACGCCTTTGTTTTCCGCACCGTTGTAGATTTCCTTTTTTTTTTTTGAGTATCTGCACCGTGGTAGATTGGGTTGTACCGTATCGCTAACCTACCACAGGAGAAGCCAGTTTATAAGGTGGCATTCGGCCTGTCTCCTTGCCCCCACATTTAGGTGGGGGTACGGGCTTGCCTTAAGCCCGTTAGAGTGTACAGTAAATGTATATACTGCCCCTGTACAGCCTTGTTGTACTTGTATAAAAAAAAACTGTATATGTACAATAGATTAGATGTAGTTGTTCTTGTACAATGTATGTAAAAATACAGATGTAAATAAAAGAACATTTTTTTTCATCTTCATTTGTTTTACCACTATACTTCACCCCATCTAGCCAATAAGTACACCAGTGTTTCATACTTACATGCAAATACACCATACGGTGATATGACTCTTCAGAAGAGAAAAACAAACGAATACATAATCGAACTCGGATCTTAAATCTTTGAATAGCAGCAGTATATATTTTTTGTTTTGCGGGAACAACAGTTGGCACCCCAACAGGCAACAGCCCATCACTCCCCTGAAATAATAACAGAGGAAATAACGTGCTGAATTAACAAACACCTGGAGATAGTCTCTGAGCTTAGGTATTTTCAAAATGAAAAAAAAATGCTCAATCATGCGCGTACCTTCATCCGTTACATACAGTACACTGGGACGCACCTGATAACTCAGTCTCAGCTTCCCCTTCAAAAAACATACTGTATTTGTTAACTCCTTGGTGGATTTCTTCCAAATTTTCCATGCAAGAACAGCCACATATTTGCTAACTAATGACACGAAAAGAAAAGGACGTGCTACACCTACAGTGTCACACACTAACCAACCGTGTTCCCTTTTTCCAACGGAAGCCAATATCCTTCTTCATCGGTCTTTCCAGGAAATTGCCAGCCACTGGTTCCTTCGCTTGGTTCACATAAGGAAGCAAGATTTTATGCGTAACTACGAGGAATAGACAGAATGTTCCCTCTGGAGACTTGGCTGCATAGGAGATGAAATCAATAGTCATGCTTCAGTTAATAAAATCAAAGTGAAAAATCAATCAAGTAAAGATACAGAAAGTTATGTGTCGAGTAGATAAATTCTTAAAAAGTATTACTTAGACAGTGGTCGAATTGAGTATCACATGTGCAGAAGCCACTATTCTAGAGATGACTGCTTTTATAACTGCTAGGCAGGGCCAAGTCCTTTTATTCAACAGGTCAGTGGAGGAAAACCAAGAATTCTGAAAAGTATATCCTCCTCAGCTTCAGCTGGTATGAAGAGCAACGACTTTGGAGTCAATGGCAGAGCAATAACAGTGTGTGCCCCCAACCCACCCACCCACACACACACACACACACACACACACACACACAATCCTCCTCACACATATCGTTCCAGACTTCCAGTTTGCATCTCTAGGAGACTGCAAACAACCAAAAACCATGCCGATCGGAGAAGCTGTTCTGTCTTCCTTCATGCAGGCACTCTTCAAGAAAGTGATCGCTACCGCTTTTGGTGAGCTGAAATTACCTCAAGATGTAGCTGAGGAGCTGGAGAAACTATCCAGCAGTCTGTCGACCATCCAAGCTCATCTTGAAGATGCTGAGGAACGGCAGCTGAAGGATAAGGCGGCACGAAGCTGGCTTGCCAAGCTCAAGGATGTTGCATATGAGATGGATGACTTGCTCGATGATTATGCAGCTGAGGCCCTTCGATCCAAACTAGAAGGCCCGTCCAGCGACAACCATTTGAGCAAGGTTAGAAGCTGTTTCTGCTGCTTTTGGTTCAACACCTGTTTATTCAACCACAAGATTCTGCAAGACATAAAGAAGGTGGAGGAGAAGCTCAATAGGCTTGTCAAGGAAAGAGAGATCATTGGTCCAAACATGATTAGTGCAACAGACAGGAAAGAGATAAAAGAGAGGCCTGAGACTAGTTCAATAATCGATGACTCCAGTGTGTTTGGAAGAGAAGAAGATAAGGAGACCATTGTGAAGATGTTGCTTGATCAAAATAACTCTAACCATGCCAACCTTTCTATTCTTCCCATAGTGGGTATGGGCGGACTAGGGAAGACGACTCTAACACAGCTTGTCTACAATGATACAAGAATAAAAGAGCATTTCCAGTTAAGGGTCTGGCTGTGTATTTCTGAAAATTTTGATCAGATGAAGCTTACCAAGGAAACCATTGAATCAGTTGCCAGCGAGTGTGAATCAGCCATCAGTGGGGTCTCATCGGTCACGACCAACATGAACTTGCTCCAAGAAGACCTCTCGAAAAAGCTAAAAGGTAAAAGGTTTCTTCTAGTACTTGATGATGTATGGAACGAGGACTCTGAAAAGTGGGGTACATATCGCCGTGCTCTACTTACTGGAGGAAAGGGAAGCAGAATAGTAGTAACCACAAGGAACAAAAATGTAGGGAAACTAATGGGTGGGATGACTCCATACTTTCTAAATCAGTTATCCGACAATGATTGCTGGTCTTTGTTCAGAAGCTATGCATTTGTGGATGGTAACTCCAGTACACACCCAAATTTGGAAATGATAGGGATGGAAATTGTGAAGAAGTTGAAAGGCTTACCACTGGCTGCCAAAGCAATAGGCAGCTTACTATGTTCCCAGGATACTGAAGATGACTGGAAAAATGTGTTAAGGAGTGAAATATGGGAACTGCCATCAGATAAGAACAATATATTGCCAGCACTGAGATTGAGTTACAATCATTTGCCTGCCATACTGAAGAGATGTTTTGCGTTTTGCTCGGCCTTTCACAAAGATTATGTGTTTGAGAAAGATAGGTTGGTCCAGATATGGATGGCCCTTGGGTTTATTCAGCCTCAACGGAGGAGAAGAATGGAAGAGATTGGAAGTAGCTATTTTGATGAATTACTAAGCAGGTCCTTCTTCCAGCATCACAAAGGTGGATATGTGATGCATGATGCTATGCATGACCTAGCACAGTCGGTCTCAATTCATGAATGTCTCAGACTGGATGACCTTCGAAACAACAGCAGCTCTGCAAGAAGTGCCAGGCACCTCTCATTCTCTTGCAATAATAGAAGCCAGACTTCATTTGAAGCCTTTCTTGAATTTAAGAGAGCACGGACACTTCTACTGCTAAGTGGATATAAATCAATAACAAGTTCTATCCCCAGTGATCTGTTCCTCAAATTAAGGTACCTCCATGTACTTGAGTTGAACCGGCGAGACATTACTGAATTGCCAGATTCTATTGGAAGCTTAAAAATGCTTCGATATTTGAATCTCTCGGGCACTGGTATAGCAATGTTGCCTTCGTCAATTGGTAGACTCTTCAGCTTGCAAATACTCAAGTTGAAAAACTGCCATCAATTAGATTATCTCCCACAAAGCATAACCAATCTTGTAAATCTTCGATGGCTAGAAGCAAGAACAGAGTTGGTCACGGGCATAGCCAGAATAGGTAACTTGATGAATTCGTGGATGAATTCGTGGTCCGTACAGACAAAGGATACAAGATCAGTGAATTGATGGCAATGAATGAAATTAGAGGGCATATTTGTATTAAGAATATCGAGTGTGTGGCTAGCATAGAGGAAGCAATTGGAGCTTTCCTGAGCGAGAAGGCATTCATCAGCATCCTAGACCTTATCTGGTCCGATAACAGGAACATAACATCAGACGAAGCAAATCAAGACAAAGAGATACTTGAAGTCCTCCGACCACATCATGAACTGAACGAGCTAACTGTCAAGGCATTTGCAGGCTCCTCCTTCCCAAATTGGTTTAGTAGTCTTTCCCACTTGCAAACCCTCCACTTGTCTGATTGCACGAAATGTGCGACTCTACCAGCACTGGGAGAGCTGCCTCAACTCAAGTATTTAGATATTGGTGGTTTTCCGGCCATTATTCAAATTAGCCAAGAATTTTCAGGTACCAATGGAGTTAAGGGGTTTCCAGCACTGAAAGAGCTCGTATTTGAAGACATGAGTAATTTCAAAAGGTGGACTTCTGTACAAGATTGTGAATTTCTTCCATCCCTCACAGAACTTGCAGTGGTGGACTGCCCGAAAATAACAGAGTTCCCACCACTCCCATCAATGCTAGTGAAGCTCAAAATTTCTGAAACGGGGATCACTATTCTTCCAGAAGTCCATATTCCAAACTCCCAGTTTCCATCGTCATTAGAATACTTGCAGATTCATCAGTGCCCAAAGCTCACATCCTTAAAGGAAGGACTGCTTAGCCAGCAATTATTGGCTCTCCAGCAGTTAACCATCACTCACTGTTTAGACCTAATTGACCTGCCAGTTGAAGGACTCAGATCCCTGTCTGCTCTTAAGAGTCTTCACATCTATGACTGTCCAAGACTGGCACCATCAGGACAGCATAGCTTGCTGCCCTCCAAGCTTGAAGACTTGCGCATCAGCTCATGCTCCAACCTTATTAACCCTCTTCTTCAAGAGCTTAATGAGCTCTCCTCGCTGACACATCTCACCACCGCTGATTGTGCTAGCCTTCAGTCTTTTCCAGTAAAGCTCCCTGCCACTCTGCAAAAACTGGAGATCCTCAATTGCAGTAATCTGATATACTTGCCTGCTGGTCTAGAAGATGCATCGTGCCTAACAGCCATAACCATCTTGAAATGTCCTCTCATACCATGCTTGCCAGGGCGCCTTACAGGGTCATTGAAAGAACTGTACATCCAAGAATGCCTGTTTCTATCGGAGAGTTGCCAAGAAAACAGTGGAAGAGATTGGTGTAATATTGCTCATGTACCAATCATTGAGATCAGTGACGATACCAACATAACCAACAAGAGCACACGAAGAAGATTATCATGAGTGCCTAACAGCAGTGCTACACAAATGGTATGAATTAGATATATTTTTCTGCTTGTCTTGCATAAACATGTTTTGTCTACTAATTGTAAACTTCATACTAGAACCAAAATCCTCTATAGGTGATTTTGCATTCATTATTGCACCTATTTTGCATGTTAGCACATAAAGATACTTAGGTTCAAATGTTCTGTAACACCTAACCGCAAGCAATAACCATACAATAAGAAACTAGTGTAAGCATCAGCTGCAACACTGTATAGTCAAGCCTTCCATTCAAAGGAAAATGAACACATTTTAATAGAACAGTCAAACTAATGGGATTGCCAATTTGAGACTGAGTAATAATAATTCAACAAAAATAAACCATCAAAATATTCATTATCTACCTCATGTATCCTAGAATCATCTAAGTGGTTGATGTATTAAAGAAGTTTCATATCCACAGGTGCGGCACAGATCATCCACCATGGTCAAGTCATATAGCTGTCCCATTCAGAAAACAAAACCTAAACCTTCAGCTGTGATATGAAGAAGTTTGTTCATGCGCAGTGCGAGCATGCATAGTAGCAAGCTTATCTGGTCAACATTTATAAAATATGGTTGAATTAGCTTCTAACTAGCAAACTCCAGATTAATAATTCTATACTGCCAGTGACAATTTTCATAAAATAGACATAATAATGTCCCAACTCTTGGTTATTAAAAGTTAGTGTGGCTCTCTGTTGCATATGCCTGTCTAATGCCTACAGAATGCAGTTCAAAGCAAAATGTAAGAGAAGATCATGTACTCACTTGTACACTTTCTACTTTCAGATTGTCGTATGGATTCTGGAAATAATTTTGGACGATGGTGATATTTCAAGAGCACCTTACACTTTATGTTCCACCTCCATCAGAAGACTAATCTGGCCCATGTGCAAAACTCGAACGAACCGAAAACTCAATGAGTAATTTTGAAGAAAATAGAGCTAGTACTTTCGGCAGAGGAAGTGGCCAAGACATTACTGTATTTATTATATATGCCTTATCATTTTCAGAAAAATAAGATGAGTGTGGGCTCTTTGTGTTTGTGTTATTTTGTAATCTCTCTTCTAGAATACATTTCACTCTATGATTTTGAGACTCCATAATTTTTTTCCCCTTTCTCTATATGACCCTCTCATTCAATAGCAAAGTCTATTTTTCCAAGATCATGTACTACAATGGGATACAGTAACAAATGGAGTGTCATCAAGAGTATACATGCCTTGTTTGTTGTGTGAAATCCTAAATGAAACCTACTCCGTTTGTTACTGTATCCCATTGTAGTGTAATAGATTTTTGTCAGTAACAAATGGAGTATTTAGTAAAGAAGGTTGTTTAAAAACGGTGAGAACCTGACCTTCCCTTCTGTCAGTAATCAACATCATATCGAAGTCTGGTGCCTCAACGCCTCAACCCGGCATAGCCAATGGATTGCATCTTCCTTTCCCACTGCATTCCAGAGACAGGATATTCCCCAATTTTCAGTAGTTTTTTGTTGTATACATGAACACCCAATTTTCAGTAGTTAAGTCACTGGTCTGCAATGGGGCGAATGCAACTAGAGCTATGAGAACGGCCGCATACATCTACTAGTACATATAATTGGGCAAATCACCAAAAGATATGCAGTTCAAAAGCTTCGATCCGAAACAATTCGTTGAGATCCATGAACTTACAGTATCAAAAACAATGCCCTCGTTGCCAATTCGCTCTGCGCGCGTCCCTTCTCCTCCTCCCGCACCATTGGTCTGGGGCGGTGCACCAGGCGGGCGGCGCGGCGGCGAGCCGGCGACGCAATAGGTGTGGGCTGGGGCAGCGGGAGCTTTGCTTAGTCGCGGGGCGGCGGCGCTGGGGGGGTGGCACGGGATGGTTGCGTCCAGCCCAGCATTTTTTCGCCAGAAACAGCGAGATGAGCACCAGGGCTTTTCCAGGAGATGAGGAAAACCCTATTTGACGCTCTCTGCGTCAAACAGTCGACCGATCGCACGGGGGATCGACCGATCGCACAGACGACGCGATAAAGTGGGCCAGCCCATCTCCCGCTTTGGGAACTTTCTAGAAGTTTCCCAGCCGGTTTTTATCCGTTTCTAGAGGGTTCCTTAAGCGGGTTTTTTTTTTCTTTTATTTTCTGTTTCTCTCTCCTTTTTCAGTTTTTTTTCCTGTTTTATCTGTTTCGTTTTCGTTTTTTCTTTATTTTCTTTGTCACTTTTATTTCAAAATAAGTTCGAGAACTCAAGTATTGTTCGAAATTCAAAAATGTTTCTTGTTTTTGAAAATTGTTCATCGTTTCAAAAAACAGTTCCAAATCAAACATTGTTCTCATCTTTTCAAAAATTATTCTCATTTTTTCAAAAATTGTTCACAATTTCAAAAAATGTCCGCACTTTACAAAAAGTGTTTGGGAATTTAAGAAATGTTCCTATTTTTAGTTTTTGTTCACAAATTTTAAAATGTTCGTGAATACTAAAAAATGTTTATATTTTTAGAAAAAGGTTGCATTTGTCAACAATTTGTTTTCTTTTCAAAAAACTCGTATTTTCATAAATTGTTCTTATATTCAAAAAATGTTCTTATTTTCATATTTTATTTACATCTGAAAAAATGTTCTTTTTTTCAATTTTGATTCAAAGTTTCAAAAAATTGTTCGTATTTTAAATAATTGTTCATAGATTCAAAAAATGTTCGTACTTTCATAAATTGTTCATAGATTCAAAAAATGTTCTTATTTCCATATTTTGTTGACATATGAAAAAATGTTCATTTTTTGAATATTTGTTCGGAGTTTCAGAAAATTGCTCGTATTTTCAAAAATTGTTCATAAATTCAAAAAATGTTCGTATTTAAAAAAACATTCACATCTAAAAAAATGTTCATGTTTTCAGTTTTTGTTCGGAGTTTCAAAAAATGTTCGTGTTTCCACTTTTATTCCCAATTTCAGAAAAATATTTCCATTTAAAAAATTACAAAACCAAGAGATGTTTGATTTTCTAAAATTTCGTTAGATTTTTTTTGTATATTTCGGGTGTAAAAAAGTAATTAGTTCCTTCAAGAAATCGTGTTTGAATTTTCATAACACGATCGATCTTACACTACTGCTTATTAAAGCCTCGAGCTAGGAATTGAACAGCAAGCCTCTTCAGGTGCGTTTGTTACTAGCCCGCGTGTAGTTTGTGCGGTCGTGGGTTCGAACCTGATCGAGCGTATTAATTTTTGGAGTTTTCGGGTGCGCTCCCGCTGCTGGGCAGACCAGTTCGCTGCTTCTACGTGCGTCGGGACGCTACTCGCGTTTGAATTTTCATAACACGTTCGATCTTACACTACTGCTTATTAAAGCCCCGAGCTAGGAATTGAACAGCAAGCCTCTTCAGGTGTGTTTATTACTAGCCCGCGTGTAGTTTGTGCAGTCGTGGGTTCGAACCTGATCGAGCGCATTAATTTTTGGAGTTTTCGGGTGCGCTCCCGTTGCTGGGCCGGCCCAGTTCGCTGCTTCTGTGTGCGTCGCGACGCTACTCGCCGCAAAATGCGGCGCATAGGAGTTCCCAGGAGATGAGGCCCAAGTTTGCATTTGGTCCTTCGGATCAACCTGTGACTCCAACAGGCCCGCCAAGGCCAGTGCTAGGAACTTTCCCTGATCCGGTTTTTCCTTTTCTTTTTCATTGTTTT